ATTTCATCTGTAGTGTTTAAATCCACACTGAGCTTTAACATCAGCGAAATCAGAGAAAAAGCTTCTGAATATACTGTACACATGCATGTACTGTACATATCCACCTACTGCAGGTACACAAAGTCAGCACTCAGAGTTTCCTGCAGCAGATTTGCACTCTGCACTTTGTCTTCTTGTTTCCACTGGAACAGTCTGACTTCTAGTCTCTGTACGCTGCTTTTTATATATATGTACTGTCTGAACAGAACAGTTCAGCGTTTCCCTGTATTTCTATTTCTGTGGAAGACAGCAGCAAAAGGTCAAACTCCTCGTCTGCGAACACGTCAGTAAAGCTGATTGTGATTAATACGCCCTCAGATTTAATCAGCGAGTTTCCAGCACAAACAGAAACGTCTCTTCCAGCCAGAGATCCAGAGATTTCCTCCTGTTTTCTATTTAGTCCAGAAGATTGTTTTTCTTCCAGCTTTTATTAGACAGGACTTTTATTTCCCTTCAGCTTTAACAGGGATGGACATTATATGAACGTCTGCAGATTTCAAACCAACCAGCTGCTCATTATGTTCAAGTTCTGGATTAAAGTCCACTTTCAGCTGATTCTACTTTACTTCCTGCTTCTACTGCAGTCCATTTATCTGAGCGCTGGAGTTACCAGTTACTTTACAGATACAAAATATCAGCAGCTAAAAAATGATGATGTATTATTACAGGTTAAAGCAGCCAGCAGGAGATGAAGTCATTAAAATGAGCTGCACCTTTACCAGCTGCAACATGAACCTGATGAACACATGAACGCAGCAATAATCAGAATCCTACAATAGATTTTATTCTGCAGAATGAGTCCTTTTACTTGCAGCAGAGTATTTGTACACTGTGGTATTAGTACTCTTACTGCAGTAAAAGCTGTGAGTACTTCTTCCATCACTGCTCCCACAGGAGGAAACAACAAACGTTTCCTCAGAGTCAGTTTTCCTCCTCGAATGTGAAAACTTCACTAAATCATCAGAACTAAGAAATAACAGGAAGCTGAACCAGGAAGGAGAAACAAGCACACTGAGACGCTCACGTGCTGTTTGGATCGCCATAGCAACACACAGGAAGTGGGATCAGACACATCTAGCAGGAAGAAGAAGAAGAAGACGCTGACCGCTTTAATCTGATAGCGACGCCTCAGCCTGCTCTGGTTGCCATGGTAACACCGGCCAGAAGTCAGTAATCAGTTCATCAGTTCAGAGAGGTTAACTACAGACCACAGAGTGTCGACATCGTCCCTGAAGGACAAAACTTTATTTACCAAAATAAAAAATGTGCACCCAGTTTAACACCATTTCAAAACCAGATTAAACCCAGTTTCCAACCAGTATAAACCAGTTCTAAACCAGTTTGAAACCCCGGGTTCTGCCGTCAGAGAGGAACCTGGTGGAGCAGAGGTCAGGTGGTGTCAAACGTGGCAGCAGGTAAAAAGGATAGGAGCCAGGCTCAGACTCTCAGCTCACTGTAACATGATTTATTAAGTCAAAACAAGGTGAACACAAACTTCCAATGATGATGAGGCAGGCAGGCGAGAGGAAAACCAGGAGCGGAGTCCGAAACACAAACATGTTAAGAGGAAGAGGCCGGCAGGAATGAAGTCCGGATGAATCCAGATGCAATAATCCCCAGAAAACAGGCCCAGGGTCTCCAAACGGAGAGACAACCAAGAACTGGACCAACAACAGAGACATCCAACGAAGGTTAAAATCAAGGGCAACTGGACTTGGTTGAATATACTGGAAGACGTTTCGTCCCTCATTCAAAGGACTTCTTCAGTTCTGACTGACTGGCAGGGAAACTCAGCTATTAAACCTCAGTTACCCAACTGAGGTTAAATAGCTGAGTGTTTGTGTCCATTAGTAGTGTGTTGACTTTGTTCTGGTATTCAGCTGTGTTAAGTACTACCATGCATCTTCCTTTGTCAGCAGATAGGATAGTGATGTTTTGATCCTTGCTCAGAGATGTCACAGCCTTCCATGCGTTGGAAGCCGTCGTGATTCCATACGTGTCTGGAGTATCAGAGAAACTCAGGAGGATTTTCAACAAACATAACATCCCTGTGTTTTTTAAACCCAAGAACACACTAAGACAGATGCTGGTCCACCCCAAAGACAGCACACCCAAACACAAGAAAAGCAATCAAGTGTATGCGGTCCAATGCAGTGAGGAATGCACAGACCTGTATATTGGGGAGACTAAACAACCACTACACAAACGCATGGCTCAACACAGAAGGGCCAACTCCTCAGGTCAAGACTCTGCAGTCTACTTAGATCTGAAGGACAGAGGACACTTGTTTGAGGACCACCAGGTGCACATTTTAGACAGAGAAGATGGATGGTTTGAAAGAGGTGTCAAGGAAGCCATCTACACCAGGGTTGAGAAGCCGTCATTGAACAGGGGAGGGGGTCTACGCCACCACTTATCCCCCACTTACAATGCTGTCCTTTCATCACTTCCCAGGAAACTCAACAAACGTAACCTATTGGCCTAAGGTGAAGATACCAACGATGGTCGTTCAGTCTTGGCCACAGGTAGTCTTAACGACTGTAACGACTGTCGTCACAGCAACAAGGAACACTAACGAACCAGCGGTATCGATGACCCGGGCCAACGACCCCACTGAGGTTAAATAGCTGAGTTTCCCTGCCAGTCAGTCAGAACTGAAGAAGTCCTTTGGATGAGGGACAAAACGTCTTCCAGTATCTTCAACCAAGTCCAGTTGCCCTTCATTTTAACCTTCGTTGGTTATCCCCCACTTACAATGCTGTCCTTTCATCACTTCCCAGGAAACTCAACAAACGTAACCTATTGGCTTCAGGTGAAGACGCCAACGATGGTCGTTCAGTCTTGGCCTAAGGTGAAGATACCAACGATGGTCGTTCAGTCTTGGCCACAGGTAGTCTTAACGACTGTAACGACTGTCGTCACAGCAACAAGGAACACTAACGAACCAGCGGTATCGATGACCCGGGCCAACGACCCCACTGAGGTTAAATAGCTGAGTTTCCCTGCCAGTCAGTCAGAACTGAAGAAGTCCTTTGGATGAGGGACAAAACGTCTTCCAGTATCTTCAACCAAGTCCACTTGCCCTTCATTTTAACCTTCGTTGGTTATCCCCCACTTACAATGCTGTCCTTTCATCACTTCCCAGGAAACTCAACAAACGTAACCTATTGGCCTCAGGTGAAGATACCAACGATGGTCGTTCAGTCTTGGCCACAGGTAGTCTTAACGACTGTAACGACTATCGTCACAGCAACAAGGAACACTAACAAACCAGCGGTATCGATGACCCGGGCCAATGACCCCACTGAGGTTAAATAGCTGAGTTTCCCTGCCAGTCAGTCAGAACTGAAGAAGTCCTTTGGATGAGGGACAAAACGTCTTCCAGTATCTTCAACCAAGTCCAGTTGCCCTTCATTTTAACCTTCGTTGGTTATCCCCCACTTACAATGCTGTCCTTTCATCACTTCCCAGGAAACTCAACAAACGTAACCTATTGGCTTCAGGTGAAGACGCCAACGATGGTCGTTCAGTCTTGGCCTAAGGTGAAGATACCAACGATGGTCGTTCAGTCTTGGCCACAGGTAGTCTTAACGACTGTAACGACTGTCGTCACAGCAACAAGGAACACTAACGAACCAGCGGTATCGATGACCCGGGCCAACGACCCCACTGAGGTTAAATAGCTGAGTTTCCCTGCCAGTCAGTCAGAACTGAAGAAGTCCTTTGGATGAGGGACAAAACGTCTTCCAGTATCTTCAACCAAGTCCACTTGCCCTTCATTTTAACCTTCGTTGGTTATCCCCCACTTACAATGCTGTCCTTTCATCACTTCCCAGGAAACTCAACAAACGTAACCTATTGGCCTCAGGTGAAGATACCAACGATGGTCGTTCAGTCTTGGCCACAGGTAGTCTTAACGACTGTAACGACTATCGTCACAGCAACAAGGAACACTAACAAACCAGCGGTATCGATGACCCGGGCCAATGACCCCACTGAGGTTAAATAGCTGAGTTTCCCTGCCAGTCAGTCAGAACTGAAGAAGTCCTTTGGATGAGGGACAAAACGTCTTCCAGTATCTTCAACCAAGTCCAGTTGCCCTTCATTTTAACCTTCGTTGGTTATCCCCCACTTACAATGCTGTCCTTTCATCACTTCCCAGGAAACTCAACAAACGTAACCTATTGGCTTCAGGTGAAGACGCCAACGATGGTCGTTCAGTCTTGGCCTAAGGTGAAGATACCAACGATGGTCGTTCAGTCTTGGCCACAGGTAGTCTTAACGACTGTAACGACTGTCGTCACAGCAACAAGGAACACTAACGAACCAGCGGTATCGATGACCCGGGCCAACGACCCCACTGAGGTTAAATAGCTGAGTTTCCCTGCCAGTCAGTCAGAACTGAAGAAGTCCTTTGGATGAGGGACAAAACGTCTTCCAGTATCTTCAACCAAGTTCAGTTGCCCTTGATTTTAACCTTCGTTGGATAACTATGACTTGGATGACTGAGAATCTTCATAGACAAAAACAGAGACCTGTACACACACAAACGTGGCAGGGTGATTAAACACAGGTGAGACACATCAGGTAATCACAGGGAAGACACAGACAGGAAATAAAGACAGACAGCAGAGACAATTCAAAATAAAACAGGAAACAACATCAACATTTCCTTTAATCCACCTTTTACAGCAACATGTTGAAGTTTAACTGACACGAAGTCGACAGTTTGACGTGAAGCACACAGTGCAAAGGGAGAACTGGGCTCAGTCTGGACTCCAGTGTGACCACTGTCCGGTCCACCGGTCAAACTGGAAACATGGGCATCAGAAAACCCTGATCCTGTGTCAGAGACTCAGACGAGGACTCTTGACTGTGAAACTAAAGACAGCTGAATGAGCTGTGTTCCAGTAAAGCTCCACCTCTTCCTGTATGCAGATATACACTGAGGACAGCACATGATGATCAGAGCAGAGAGCAGGCGGACGGCCAGAGAGACCATCTACCTGGACATGGATCACCTGTTGGTGCTGCTGCTGCTGTGGAGCTCAGGTAGGACTTTAAACAGCATGTGTTAGTAGGAGTCCAAGCGGTGAAGCTGCTGGTGCACGATATGTTCTGTTCTTCTTCTTTTTCTGCTAAAACTGTTTGTGCTGCTAAACATTAGCCTCAGATGTTCAGTTGTGTCCAGGTGTATCAGGTGTTCAGAGGGCTGTACTACGAAGCAGGTTGGACACATCCAGGCTTTCTTGGCTTCAGCTCGACGAAACCTTAAACTGACGGCTGAATTTATTTACAATAAGAAAATTAAAAAGATTATTTGTGTTTTCATTTGATTTCAAGATGAGGTTAAATTAAGTGGAGATCGTTCATAGAAAAGATATAAATTCAAGTATGATGCAAATTAGCGACAACAGGCATAAACAAGAAACCTGTGCTTGCAAAAGGTTCCCAGGAACGTATTTAATATGCACAAACAGAGATAAACAGAGGAATACAGACGCTTTCTCAGCTGCAGGCTGAAAGGAAGAGGTGTCATGTGAAAGGGTTTAAACTGCAGTCAGAGATAACGGGTTTCACCACGGCGATCATCTTTGTTACCTTCATCAGGCTTTGTGCTCGTTCCCATTAAATTCTGACGCGTCATGTGACTCTTCTTCTGCAAAAATGGACCAATGGCAGAAAAACATTTTACAGCAAAAAGCAACTCTGCTGCTGCAAAGAAGGCGAGAGAGGGATGCTGGCTGACAATCGTTGTTGGACGCGCTCTGATTGTCTCCTGCTTATATGTGACGGCTGCACATCGAGCTCTTAAACTGTAAACCTGATATTTAAACATGAAACTCAAGAAGTGCACTGAGGTGTGACACTGTCCCACCATGAAGGACACGTGGACTTCACTTTAGTTTCTGGACAAATCAAAGTGAGATGAACGCTGACTAAATATTATCAGTGATAAATACCAATAATCACTTTTCTAATTTGTGCTCTATTCACTTTGTTTATTAGCTGCAAAGTGTGAAAGAGACTCAGCAGCAAATCAGGACCGAGCATAAAAACATCATCCAGTCAGAGCTGCTAACTCTCACAGATTGACCGTGAGACTCACGCTGTTGACACTTTCACACGCTCTCACGCCGAAACATCAATTTAGTCACGTAGTGAAAAACGACTGATAACATGTAGAACTGATAACGTCAGCCTGCGGCGTGAATCGGCTCCGCCCGGCTGAAGCGACACCAGCGTACGCCGTGATCGTAATCAAGCAGACCTGCACTAGTGCTGTGAGTCACAGACAGTTTGTGACAGAGTGGTAAAATAAGAAATTTAAAAATGGTTTGATGACTTTATCTTTTCCCATCTGAACATCTAAAAGCTAAGTATGGATCCATGAAGATAAGAAGGGTTATGTTCCTGTACAGGCTGCACCATAAGACATGAGACGGTGGCTATACAGTGTTTTTATTGCTTCTATTGTTTCAAAGGGAATAAAGAGGCATGCAAACTCAGTATCCTGTAAATGGAAGTACTGTAAATGAAAATACTGTAATGATACCGTCGTTCAATTCTTGGTAATTATTCAGTTCTGCAAATTACAGTAACTTTCTGGCATCCAGCTGCCAGTAAGTTACTGTAAAATCTACAGCAATCTTTGGAGGGGTTTGTTTTTTTACCCGCCGACTGGATGACCAATAATGGAAAAGCGTTTCCACCACCTGCTTCTGTTGACGATTTCTGGACAGTTTGAGTTTTGCCTTTGTGAACACAAACTGGACCAGCTGGAGAACTGAGCATCTTCACATTGGTTGGATTCAGGACCCGGACCTTTAGGTGTGAACCCTTAATCAAACAGTAGCATCATATATCATCGTGTAACACGTCGTTTCTTCAGCTGGGAGTCAGGTGACAGGACCTGATTCTTGTTGCTGTAGAAACATTTCCATCTGTGGAATTTAATCTGACAGTGTGCAAAGACACTCAGTTTGTGATGTTGCACTATGAATAAAGTGAAGCTGAGCGAGCATACTTCACTGAATGCTGAACTTTAACTCTATATAAACCAGTCTGCTGGCTGCTGTTCTGTGTATTCACATGTTCATCTCACCTACAGTAAACTGGTAAAATGACTCAGAGGGAGTTCACTGAGATGTTTCTGAGCTGATAGTGTTTTTTCTGTCCACGGCTGTGCTCCAATCACAGGACTCCAGGCTGAAGGAAATCACACCTCAACAGGTAAAGAGAGAAAGAAAAGAGAAGGAAGAATCACAGAAGCAGAATCAGCAGTCAAGGTTTAGTTTAATCTCTTGAATTCACTTCTTTACTGATGACTCTCTGGTTTCTGTTCAGAGCCTGATGATGTCAGGTTGGTAGGAGGAGCCAGTCGCTGTGCAGGAACACTGGAGCTGAAACATCAGGGAGACTGGAGACCAGTGAGTTACTCTGACCGGAACCTGGAGACAGCAGCTGGTGTCTGTAGAGAGCTGGACTGTGGCTCTGCTGTTTCTGTAGGACAGAGAAAGGAGTCCTCAGACAGACCTGTGTGGAGGATCAGGTCTGACTGTGTTCAGTCTGGTTCTGCTCTGAGGGAGTGTGCATCATTATATTCCTCTTCCTCCATCCTGGATCTCACCTGCTCAGGTAAGCCCATCAGTGACATCATCTATGACATCATCTCTTACAGTAATGTACCCAGGTTGACTCACACTCAGCAGCTAGAATGGCAGCAGACTGTCTCTGGCAGCCATGACGGAGTCTGATGAGCTGCTGCCTCAGTAAATCAGGAGCTGAATGTATATGTATATATATATATGTATATATGAAACATGTCTGCTGCTTCAGGAGGCCCCGGGGCCAACCACCAACCAGCCTGAAAGGACTCCTCCTTCAGCTTGACGGCTTTCTTAGCCACTGGTTTCCACCAGCAGGGTCTTTGGTTTCCTCCATAACAGGCACCAGTGACCTGCTGGCAGTGTTGGGAGGGTTACTTTAGAAATGTAATCAGTAATGTACCACAAAATAAAAGTAATGTAATCTGATTACTTTGAGTTACTGTTGGATCACTTCAATGCCAAATAGGCAAATGAAGAAGAGAGAGTATCAGTGATGTGTTGTCTGCTCAGTGGATTTTTAGAGAAACATACAATAACAAAATCCTCCATTCCCAAAGTCCATGTTTAAATGTTTTTATATGATTTGCTTTGCACTATGTCACCACTGTGGCAGTTTCTGACCCATCAGTGACAAAAAATGTGTTTTGTATTCTTGATGATATTTAAGAGTTTTTTTAAAACGTTGATGACTCATTCTGCCCTTCTTATTTTAGCGTCCAATGCAAAGATTTCTCAAACAGACGCTGCTGAAGCAGCTGAGTATTTCTAGGGCCGGGCCCCACTGATTACTGCACAGAAACAACTTTATTCACTGATTTTGGTGAAACTGGATCATATTTAATGGAGAAATATCAGAAATATGACTAAAATATATTGTAGTTTTCTCTCTGATGTCCCTCTGCCTCAACTCTGTGATTCCCAGAGTTTCCTGATGGACAGATAACTTTACTTGTTGCTGAAGTTAGTTAACAGCTAACTAGCTCAGTTAGCTGTCCTGTCCACTGGTCCTGTTAGCTCTGCTCCTGTGTGGATTTGTGGTGAGGTTGATCACCTGATACATGTAGGAGCCATCATACATGTTTCATTTCAAAATCTATGTTTGCCCCCCCGCCCCCTCTTTCCTAATGTAAAGTTTTATTTGCATTGCCTTCCTGGCTCAGGCGATTTCGGAGCTGGCTCATATAGGAGGCGGTTTACTAAGAGACCATTCAATCACTCACAGTCCACATCAGTCGCGGACAGAATGTAGCCTGTTGAAATGTTGAGGGAGAAGAAAAGAAGTTGCTGGAAGTCGGAGCAGCAAAGTGCCTCAATATTACAGACTTTTCTTTGTGCTGCTGTTCCTTCTAGCTGAAGGCAGCAGTGATGTCGTCTGCAGCAGGGGTGGGTTCATCTAATGTACTTTTAATTTCTCTTTCCATTCATACCTTCAGAACTTCAGCAGTCTGTAATCTGCATTTTGCTTCATTAACAGAAATGAGCTCATCCAGGCTGTGTGCAGTTAGACAGTAAAGCGCTGGTTGAAAAACCTTCACTTTCCATTAACGGCGCATTAAAAGCGTCTTTAGTCTCTGCAGAGCAAATGAAGACTTCACTCTGTAAGATCTGTCAGATGATCACTGCATTGACTGAGATATATTAAAAGTGTCCTGTTGTTGAACAGAGCATCGCTTTGGACGTCAGCCTGTTTCTTTTCTTTTTATTTATTTGTTTATTTGTCAGGGACAATGCAAAAGAGACACATTGTAACAGGTTACAGTAACTTGAACAGATGTGTTGCATATAGGGTTTCTAGCTGAAGCTAATTTGCAACCCCTGTCCCTGGTTAGGCTACATACATCACCATTACCAAGAAAACAGAGTCAAACAACAACAAACAAACTAACAACAAAACACACCAGTCAGGAAAAAACTAAATAAATAGTCACATTATATACATATATCTGTGTGTGTGTGTGGTGTGTGTGTGTGTGTGTGGTGTGTGTGTGTGTGTGTGTGTGTGTGTGGTGTATCTCTATATCCGTATGGACATGTCCATTTATAAGTGCGTCTGCACAAGGCATGATCAGTGATCACAGATTTGGTTTTGTTTCAGCCAGTGTTTCACCTTTTCATTAAATGTTTTCAGATTCCTTTGTGTTTTCATTTCTGTTGGCAGGGAATTCCTACAATGGATCCCTTTTACAGAGAAGGACGACTAATCGAAAGTGGTTTTGCGCTGTGCCACCTTGCAGTTGAAATTTGGTCATCCCCTAGTGGCGATTCTATTAGTATTTGTTTTTAAGTACAGCTGGAGCAAGATTATTCACACATTTAAAATCAAGTTGATAAAAGAAAACTTAATAAAACAATCATAACTAAGCAAATTATACTTTTTCATCTTATACAATGATGCCATTTCATTTGTTTTTGATCCATTATTTTCAGTGCTTGTTTATATAGTGATATAATGGGTTTAAGAGTTGACTGTGAAGCCTGGCTCCATACAGTAACACAATAAGAAAGATGGGAGAATAGCATAGCATGCAAAAAAAGTTGAGCTGTCTTGAGGGGTAAATATTATCTAATCATTTTAAAACAGTTTAAATTAGTCTTTACAGTTTTGCATAGTTTTTTAACATGTTTATCAAATTTAAGTTCGGGGTCCAAATGACACCTAGAAATTTAAAATCATTGACTTCCTCTATTTCCTCTTGATTTATTCTAATTATAAGCTTTTCTTTTGCTTTCCTTCTCATGGAAAAACACATTGAATCTGAAAAAGACTGTCAGAGTTAAGTGATTGTTTTTAAGCCATAGAGAGACTCCCTCCATTCCGCTTGTTAATATGTCTGCTGCTACACAGGGGGTTTTGGCTGATACATAGATAATTGTGTCATCAACATACATCTGACATCCAGCTTTTTTAAAGCATGATGGTAAGTCGTTTATGTATAGGCTGAAGAGCAGAGGCCCCAAAATCGAGCCTTGTGGAATTCCCATTGTAGATTGTCGGGGGGTTGAATATTCTGCATTGATTTTTACACACTGCTCTCTTGATTCGAGATAGGATGCAAACCAGCCAGGTGCTTGCTCTGAAAAGTTAAAAGTTCTGAGTTTGTTCAAAAGCACTTCATGGTTCACAGTATCAAAGGCCTGTTTAAGATCTGCTCCGACTACATCACCCTTATCCAATGAGGACTTGATGTTTTCAGTGAGGTAGCAGTTGGCAGTTGAATACCCCGGTCTAAATCAAAATTATTTAGGATAAATAAGAAAATTATTTTCAAGGTTGTCAACCAGTTCTGCAACAATGTTTCCAGAATCTTTGAGAGAACTGGTAGGATAGAGATTGGTCTATAATTGCTTACTTGGCTTTATGACCGCTGTTTTCCAGGTTTGTGGAAATTTACCAACTCTGATGGAAAGGTTTATCAGATGTGTTATTGGTTTGATCAGAGTGGAGCTATGTTTTAATAACAGCAATATCCAACCAAAACCAGTCCTCTGCCTTTGAATTATTTAATTCATTGATGATTTTAGCAACTTTCTCTTGGTCAACTTTCTTAATATGAAAGGACTGCAAAGAGTCTGAAAAATTAAGAGATCCCTAATTGATCCACTACTAAATTGTCAAAAGTCATGAAGACTCAAGCGAGCGGAAATCCACTGCGCGAGCAGAAGCACAATGCGTGCGAGCAGGATTCCACTGCGCAAGCAGAGTTATCCTTTGAGAGCAAACCAGGCGCTCGCTCGCAGAAACCTGTACAACTCTCGGTTGTTAAATTTCTGCACGAGTGTTGTATTGCGTGGGAAGCTTAATTTTTGCGCGTGTGGAATAACATAATTTATGACTAAAAATAAACGCCATAATTGTACAGGATTACAATATTAAAATTCATCTGGGGGGACAGTGCTATATTTAAGGCTAGACATTCCAAAGATGTGTCCAGTTTGATTTCATTATATTTAAGAATATGTCTTACATAAAATAATACGCCCCCTCCCCTGCCAGATGATCTGTCCTCTCTATAACAAACATAGCCAGGAACTGCATCATACTGGTTGCGATGTTAGGAATAAGCCAGGTTTCACTCAGAGCTAGGAAGTCTAGGTTAGAGTCCGTCAGTAGATGTTGAATCTGATCTCCTTTTGATATTATACTCCGGATGTTCAAGATTCCACCCAGGATACCCTTAGGTCTAGACACAGAGTCCCAAATCACCTTTACATGATTTACAGTCTGGAAAAATCCAAGTTGATGTTGTTTTTGTGCTGATTGGATATCTGTTTTACATTGTTTTTAAAGTTCCATTAGCTGCGCTTATCATCCACTCTGGCAGCTTAGGTTGCTTGTGAAAGTGTGATTGTTCACACTCACCAGACAGATCACGTCCATCCGGGTGGAAAACGGGGCAGACAGGTGGGCCGAGGTTCCGTTGGTCGATCGCAACATGCGGCACGCCCCTCAAGCAGAAAGGTCAGCTGATATAACACAGAGTCAGTATTATACTGAGAGCATACCGTTAGGAATTTTGGACAGGGGGACAAACCAACTTCTTAGTTCTAATACAAACACGGGCAGTTTCAAAGAAGCTCTTGGCCGTTAGCCTTATAGTGACACAGATGGAGTCCCTAACAATTATTTCCAAATTCAGCGTTATAGAGTCATCCAGGCCGCGCTCACATGTATATTATTACTCAATATGATTATAAAGCACAAAAGGTCAATACCTTTTTTTAATTTAAATTAGACTGTGACAGTTATGTTCCTCATTTTAACTTAAAACAAGGAGACAGAAAAATGCCCTTCAATGATTTGCTGATTAGAGAACAGTAAAATCAAACATTGTAGAAATGACTGCAAAGCATTAAATCATACAGTTTAATTATGAGTGAACGAATACACATACTTGATCTATCAAATTCAGTTTTGAGGACTACAGTAATCAACGTATTGGTCAAATTATGTACTAAACTGAAATACTGTTTAGAGTATATGGCTGTGAGCTGAAATGATGATCATATAAACAGAGGTTTACCACAGTATAGCTTATTCTACTGTAACCATAGTAGCATCTGTATCCTCTGACCTGTGATGTGCTGCTGACTAGTGTTTACTGTAGGGCAGGTTTCTGGAGGCTGTTACAGGGGAACTTGTGGCTGTTACTAATCTTTATTCATATAAAGGGAAACACAAAATTCAGGTGACGATTCCAAATATAACAGAATATAATGCAGTAAAGCTCTCAGGCATTCTGTGTTGCTTTTAGATATAGGCTATTTTCTCCTGTAGTGTAACTCTTACAAGGTTGTTTTTGTCATTTTACAACACAGGGCTGCTGTCTAATGAAACAGAAGCTTGTAGTCCCTTCATGCTGCACACACAGAACTTAACAAATGAATATATTAATCTGAATACAAATTAAATGTGAAGGATGAAAATATTTCCTCATGTCTTTGTCTTGGAAGTAACCTGTTTAAATATGACTGTGGCACCTTTTCACCTCAATGATATTAAATAATTTTAATTCAGACAGAATCTCCTGCACTTTAGCTCGCGTGTTTCAGAAGGTTTCTGCTCATTTGGCCCCTTCAGAACCGTTTGGGACTGTAGGTACTACTGCATGGGAGGAGGAGGTGGATAAACGAAACTTGCTGAATTCAATCAGATGGCAAGTTTGAAATATGTTTTAATGATAATAAAACATTTATTTATCATGTAAATATATCTAAAACGTTTTGTTATTTAGAAAAGACAGTAATAAAGTGTCTAAGTTGATCCCATTTAAGGGTTGACCATAGACCTTGCATGGGCCCCCCCTAGGCCTTGGGCCGGGGTCATCTGTACCCGTTGACCCCCCTGACGGCGGGCCTGAGAGCATACCACGTGCCTCTTTTACCAGCATTTTGTTTGTTGCTGTTTGATGTCATGTAGGAATATTTCTTTCGCCTCGTGATAGAGTAGATTACAAGATATCCATGTCCAAAGAAATTCCATTTCGGCATTTCCTTTGAGAATGCAGTGTGGTCTGTTAATTTTAGCATTTGTTTTTCCATGTTGTCCACATTAAAGCATTGTCGTAGTGGCACCAGCAGAAGCCAACAGCAAAGCAGCACCTTTATTTTTGTTTTAAATTCAGATTTCAGCCTCCCCCCTCTGCTTCTGTCAGAAGGGGA